ACATCGTTATTTGTATGTGGTGCTGAGGATCGAACCCAGGCCACATGCATGCCAGGGGAGCGCACTACCGCTTGAGCCACATCCCCAGCCCTATTTGTGAGATCTTAACAAAGTCTTGGGACCACATTCATAACTTGACTTTGAGTCCGAGCACACAGTTCACAAACTGTGTTTGGGGTTTGATGTTTGATTGCAAGCTCTTTCTTGCATTGAGAATCTTTTATTCTCATATCATACTTAATCAAATATAGATGAAAGAGGTAAATCACACTTTCAGAGATCTACCAGGGAATTTCATTGGTTAGATTCACAAGTTAACTCAGTAATTTTCTTTCTTCCAAGTTACAAAGATGGCAATGTTGCCCAAATCCCATAACTACATAATATGAACTGCCTTTTTTCCAACCACCCAGACAGAACATTCACTGCCTGTCTAGCCACCCCTAACAGACTCCTGTAGGCCTCTACTAGCTCCTGGGTTTTGTTTTGACAGTATGCTAGTTTGGGGTAGCAGTTTCTGTTTTGGTTATTTATTGCTGCATTGTTGCCTTAAAATGCCCCCAAAACATAGTGGCTTCAAAACACTGGGTCAGGAATCAGGGCAGGGCTCAACTGGTTGGCTTCTTTGGTCCACATGCTTCCATGTGGATTTGTTTTCAGCTGGGTGGGGGGTGGGCTGCAGTCAAAAGTCTGATGCACGCTCCCCCATGTCTGGCACATCTTTGCTCCTCCTAATATCCACTTCTTCATATGAGCTCCTCACAGCGACATGAGGTAGCCAGGCAGTCAGGTCTCATACCTGGTGGCTGACTTCCACCAAGAAGTGTTCCAAATGGGCAAAAACAGGAGCCCCATGCCCTTCAGACTAACTTCAGAGGTTATACGGTGTCACTTTCATGACATTCTAGTCATCAAAACAAGTCTTAGGGCCAAGCCCAGATTTGAGAGGAAAAGAGAGAGACTCCAACTTTTGATATGGAAAGACAAGTTGCACTGCAAGAAGGCGTGGGGGTGGGACACCTCGTTTGACCATCTCTGGAAATAAACTTTCAGGGCAGGGAGCTTAGGAGGGTCTTTCTTGGTTTTCCTCCTAAGTACAGGAATGTATGGCTGGAGTGAATTAGGGCACATTACCATCTTAATCAGGAAAGACTTTTGAGAAAAAATGGAGAATTTTTTTTCTTGGGGGGGGCAGTGTCCCTGTATCTCTTGCATTCTTTTTTTTTAAATATTTGTATTAGCTATTGAGGGATCTCTATTTATTTGCTTATATGCAGTGCTGAGACTCAAACCCAGTGCCTCACACATGCTAGGCAAATGCTCTTCCACTGAGCCACAACCCCAGCCCCTTCTCTTGCATTCTTTATGTCTGTAAAACCATCACCATGCAGATGAGGCCAAGAACTGCCACTAGCAGAAGCAGTAGCCATGTCCCCTTGGACCATGGTTGCAGTGGCCTTTGAGTACCTGGGCGGCTGAGCTCAGTGAAACTAATCGTGGGAAACCAACTTCTTAGGCAGCCCTGTGGGACCAGGTCACCCCAGAAATCTCTTTATAAATCTAAGTCTTTCAAAAAAGTTTTTACTTTTATGCCATTGAGTCTGTGACAGGGATAATCCTGCTGCTTACTGAGATGTCCTTAAGGCATGTTTCCCTTTTGTCCTTGGCCTCTCTTAAAATGGCACAAATCTCATCAGCAAGACAACTTCCTTGGTCCAAATTATATAGACACTTTTCTAGCTAAATGGCTACATCCTTATGCTCTGCTTTTTGGTCCCATTTCTAACAGGAATCCTGGCTAAGTCACCAGCGATATCCATGTCACAGCTTTAACGCTATGCTGCCTTAAAATTTTCTCCATCACATTAATTGGTCCATCACCTTTAAATTCAGCCTGACACAAAGTGTCAGGACATTGGCAAAATGTAGGCAAGTTCTTTGTAACAACTTGAATAGCCTCAAGTGCAGTTCCCAATAAGGTCCTCTTTCCCATCTGAAACCTCAGCACAGTCTTTACTGTCCGTGTGGTTATCAGCATTGTGGTCTTCCAAACTTGTTGGGAAAAGTATAACGGCAGCCGCACCCCAGAGAAAAAAAAACCTCAACATGGCACCTAAGGACCTTCTCTTCGTACTTTCCCCTTTTTCCACTGGTGAGAAAAGTTCCCGCGGGTGTGAACTCTCCCGCCAGCGCCAATTTCTAATCTCGCTGGCGGGGAACCTTAGCCCCAATAAGAACTAATTCCTGGGCTCCGGAACTGATATCTGGAAGAACTTGCCAATAAACGGGTGGCCTGCCATTTATCTAAGCCCTGCCATCTCTCCCTAGATCTATATAAGCCCACAGCCTTTTGCAATAAAGTGGAACTCTCCCTGGCGAATTGTCTTGGGTGGAGGATTCTTTCAAAACTTACACCAGAATCACCCATTTAAGTGCTCCATGTTCTGAGACTTCTCCAGCCTGCATCTTCAAACTTTTCCAAATTTCTTCCATAAACTGATTCCAAAGGCTTCAGAACTACATAGTTGGGTATAGTCACAGCAAAACCCCTATTCCGTCAAAAGAGCCACCAATCAGGTGTGGACAGAACTGCCTGTCAATCAGCGGGGTCTCCTGACCAATCCTGGATCTCAGCAAGCTCCCCCAACCAACCCCAGTAAGACAAGGGACTCTAAAAACCCTCCTTTCCTGTCCCAATCCCTCCCTTCTTGCCCTAAACCCAATAAAAATCCCAGTCCGGCTGAGCCCCACCACGCGCTTCTCCCCAACCCACCCTGTTGGTCTGGAGGGTCTCACCAGGAGTGAAATCTCAATAAAGCCTCGTTCTACAGCCTTTTTAATCTTCCTCCTTTTGGTGGCTGCTGCCTGACCCTACAGTTCCAGAAGCTTCAGTCCATTCATTGCTTTGGGTCTGAGGGGAGGGGAGGCAGAATATCATGGCAGAGGAAAGCTACTCAGCCCCTGATGGCCAAGAAGCAAAAGAAGCAAGGGTCACGATGAGAAGTGGTCCCCAAGGATCTACCTCGAGTGACCTTACTTCCTCCAACCATGCCCCACCTGCCTATAGTTTCCACCACCTGCCAAGTAATCCATCCAAATTATAATCCATCAAATTGATTCATCTACTGATAAAGCCACAGCCCTCTTAAGCTAATCATTTTCCAAAGCCTCACACTGCTGTGCTGGGAACTGAGTCTTCCACGCTTGGGATTCTGGGAGGCATTCCAAATCCAAACCATGGCAGAAGAGGTTGGAATGGCAATGACATCTTGGATGAAAGCCTTTTAGTCCAGTGGCATTAGCTTGACAAGTGAGAGTGCTCTGGAGTGAGGGCACCTCTCTCTGTGACCCGTTAGCTGTGGCCGAACCTGCATGTTTATGTGCTCTTTTGAACTTTGCACTCTCGGGTATCACGCCCAGAGAGATTATCCCACTGGCCTCAGGAGAGCGGTGAGAGGCACCAGGAGCAGAAGCACTGTCACCTGAGTGAGCTCAGCCTACACCTGCCAGCCTGCAGACACCTCTCCAGTGGCAGAGCCTGCAGGTGAGCACAGGAGGCAGGAGCTAGTGAAAGGGGCTGGAGGGAAGAAAGAGTCTCCCTAATGTAAACGGTGTGGCAGGAGCTGTCACAGCCTCACAGGAGGGAACAAAGGCTGTGCTGGGGTGATTCTCCCAGTCACGTCATCTAGGGATCACCTCCACTTAGTGAACGGGAGAAATCGGATGTTTGGAAGTGCTGGTTGGGGCCTCTGCATAGAAAACTACTCACAATTTTTTTTTTTTCTCAGAGAATGGATGATGATCTCTACCACCTCCTATTAACATCTTCCTGAAGACCCACGTTAACAAATTCTATTATTTACCTCTTCTTGCATAACAAATCACCCCCAAATTTGATAGTAGCTTAGGACAACAAGCTGTTTCTGTGCATGGGGCCTTTGAGACGGCTTCGGGTCTCTTGTGAGATATTAGTCAAGATGTCAATCACCTTGGGAGCCTCTCAGAGACCACCAAGCGGAGGAGATTCAGCATCAGATTAGGACCAGACAGGATTGGCTACTTCCAATGCAGCTGCAAGAGGAAGCTGCATTTGATCAGGGAGTTTTACAAACATAAACTCAGACACCTCCTCTCCGTCTTTCAGAGAATCAGGCTCAGTCTCCTGGGAAACTTCACACTTGAAAAATGAATAACAAGGTTTTCTTGAATAACAAGATTTCTTGCACAATTAAATAATTCTACTTCTTTTTTACAAAATTTTTTTTCTTTTTTTTTACCTGTTGATAGACCTTTATCTATTTATATGTGATGCTGAGAATCGAACCCAGTGCCTCACACATGCCAGACAAGTGCGCTACTGCTGAGCCACAACCCCAGCCCACTAATTCTACTTCTTAAAAATAATGTCTTATTGTTTTCTGGTAATGAACAAGACGTGCTCTTTGTCAGCAATTTGGAAATTAAAAAATCTTTCAAATAAAGAACACAAAAGGCACCTCCATTCTATCATTAAGAGCATCTCTAAGAAACACTCCTTTAGTTCCTGGTGGATACTGGGATACACCAGTAAGCAGCGTCCATGGTCCCACTTTCAGCACAGCAGGAGGGAAGACCTTGCTCTATTTACTGAATTTCACTCTAGTCCTCTCCCAACCCCACTCTGTGTGTGATCCTTCTTTAAAATGTTGGTAAAATACCAGAAGAGTTTGGTGTGGTGGTAGAGGATGGACTCCCTGTCTTCTGGTGAGGGTGATTGGCTAATTCAAAGGATAGGCACAGGGTTCAGCAGCAAAGGCCCCACCAACCTCACCAACATCAGAGCACCTCAGACCCACCTGGGCCCCAGACCACCCGCTTCTCTGAGGACAGGCAGCCGGATGGGAGCTATCAACAGAAGAGCCCTTCCCGCCTGCTGTGCTTGTCTTCACACTAGTTCCAGGAATTGACCTGGCAAATATTGACCAGGCTGCTGAGTCTCCAACACCATTTTTCTGTGGCAGGAGGACGCGCGGGCTGAGGACCTGGGCCCGGCTTGGTGATAAGGCTCTGTGAGTACTGGGCTCTGCCGGGGAGGAAGGCAGGCGGCTGTCACCGCTCTATCCCCCTCCTCCTCTCTAGTTCTCTGTTTCTCCATCTCTGGCTTCACAGGTAGGGGTGGGAGAAGTGAGTCCCCTCGAGTTAGAATGGAATGAGCACTGCTTCTGAGTCTCCAAGTTAGAATTTCAGGTTTTCAATGACCTTTGGCATCCAAGACTTTGGACAGAGGAGCTCCGAATATTCCTGGCAGATAAGACCACAGCAAAGGACAAAACTTACTAGAAATCTTGTGATGGGAAAAGAGGCATGCTTGGAAGCCCTGAGCTGGACCCGAGTCTTTCTCCTGCCTCTTACCAAGTGTTTGTCCTGACCTGAGCCTCAGTTTCCCCAAATGGACAACTGGGCTAGGAATCCTTGTGCCTCAGGGTTCTCAGAAGGATTGAATCTGACACAAAGCAGGTGCTACCTGCATTTGGGAAGGACCATTCTTCACTGTATGCGACCCTTCTGGGCAGTTTAAAGCTTCCATGTGCCCAAATCTCACCCACTGAGTGCCAAGAGCACCCCCGTTTCTTGTGGTCGATATGACCAGAAACACCACTCACCCCCACCTCTCCCATCCCTCCTCCATAATTTACAAACACATCTGTCCGAAAAACAGCGATACAACGTACCTAATATCCCCAGCCCTCTAAACACTTAATAAATGAAATGTTATAATGAATGGGTAGGGTTCTTCGTTTTCCTCTGGGATCTTTCTAGAAAAGGAGCTATGAAATGAACTGGATGTCATTGCACTCAGCCTTGGTGGATGGGAAGAAAACCCCATGACGTTCTTTCTATGTTAGGTGCTCTGTGTGTCTGTCGCATAAGCCTTCACCTGCCCTGCCCTGCCCGGGAGGGGACTTTGCCTGCATTTTTCAAAAACTGACACCGTGTGAAGGAGGTTTCTTTGCTCTGCGCAGCAGTGAGTTCCTGCAGAGCCTTGGTTGCAACCCAGGCCCCACTGGGAAGTAGACGTCGTTTTGCAGGTCAGGAAGTTCTTGGGGTGCCATGGGGGCAGTAAACGGTGCTGAGTTCAATGGCATAGAAGGAATAAATGAGAAGTAGTTTGGTCACTGCTGTGCTTCTGATTTTACCCAGGGACAGACCAAGTTTTAATTTGTTCCGCATCTTACAAATTTCCCATCAGAAGGCAAATCTGAAATGTACAGGAAATGTCATTGAGCCTCCCCCACTGAGCTGTGCGGAGGGAGGGAGGACATGACCTTGGAAAAGTGCCCATCACACTTTGACCAGCAAACGCGTTTCGACATAACAGAGGAGACAGCATCCGTGCCTCCCGGCAGCTGGACTTTGAATAGTGGTTGGGCAGAGCGTTCAGGACACCAGGGCCAAATGCCACCTGGAACGCTACCCTCCCCAGCATTGCCACTACAGCTGTAATTTGTCCAGAGGTCATTAGTACGGGCAAAGAGTATTCAAAGTGCTGATTAAATCACCAGTGTTTTCAGGACAATCTACCACAAGGCACCAGGGGGTCAGAATTTGGCCCCCACTGAAGGAACAATGGAAAGGGTGGTTTCAAGTGGAGCAGGAGGACATCAGGGTCTGCAGGATCCAGGGGTCTGTGCAAGGGCAGGGGGACATGAGAGGGAAAGGAAGGTTTTAGACACAGCGCAACACGGTGCCCCTCCCCTGCACATCCTGCCCGGAAGCCAGGTGTCTTCCTGTTCCTGCACCACCGTATCCCCTAGAGGTGGACCAGCGTTTCTTCCGGCATGTCTTATAACCAAGAGGTGTCGTACTCGTCTGCAGGGGCTGCTTTAACAAGCTGTTAAAGTGCTGCATTTAAACCACAGAAGCTTTTGCCTAGCAGCTCTGGAAGCTGAAGTCCAAGATCAAGGGGTGGGTAGAGCTGACTCCTCCTGAGGCCGTTGGGAAGAGTCTGCTCCAGGCCTCTCCCCAGCTCCTGGTGGTTACTGGCCATCTTTGGCTTTGCTCAGTTGGTAGGATATCACCTGCAGTCTGTCTTGTCCGTGTGTCTCTGTGCCTAAAGCTCTTGTTTTATAAGGATCCCAGTCATACTGGATTGAGAGCCTACTCTAATGACCCCATCTTAACAAAATATATCTGTGATGATCCTATTTTCAAACAAGATCCCCTTCAGGGGTCCTAGCAGCTGAAGGTTCAGCTTATAAATTTGGAGCAAAAACAAGTCTACCCATGACAGATGGTTCCTAAACCTCCACATCAATCAAAGATGGAGGCTCCAGCCACTGCACATGACAGACAGCAGAGTCTTGATGGAGATGTGGAGACAGATCCAAGCCCCCTCCTCTCCTCCCAGGACCCATCAGTCCTGTCGCTTTGTCCTCGCCCATGGGCCCCTCTCATCTGCGCCACCCGGTGGGTGACCCTCACATCCAGCTAAGGAAGGATCAGGAGGGCCCAGGGACCCCTCTTTCCCGTGGGGCTGACACGAGGCTTTGCACATCATCCTTTTCCTTCTGGAAGATGAAATTCCAGGTTAAGGCTGTGCGTAGGTGTGAGGCAGGCCCAGTGTCACTCATTGTCACAGTGTCCTGACCACTTGTTCCACAGCCCTCTTCTCCATTTATAGTAACATATACATTTGCTCATTTAACTAGTGCAGGCCACTCCAACTGGACCTGAAGCTTGTGGGGTCGGGAATTGGGATTTTTTTTTCTTCTCCGCACTCGATATTCAATACTGGGTTTATTTCTTGAGTCAGATAGATCCTTGAGAGGAAATGGAAAGAAGAAAGGAGGAAGGAAAGAGGGGGGGAAGGTAGAGGAGATAGGAAGGGAGGGAGGCAGGGAGGGGAGCAGGATAAACTATGGAAGACTTTTTTGTAGCCCGGAGTCCTTTACTCAAAAACCTCTATTGCACGTGGAGCAGAGAGAGGGCTGCTGGTCTTCCCCAAGCCTGGGAGGACTGTCATCTACCACTGTCCTCTGCAGTGTGCCAATGGCACCCTTGTGGGACAGTCTGAATGGTGGGGTTGATGGGCAAGCAGGGGGGCAGATGAAGTCACTTGTGAAGAGGAGGACTGATGTGTTCGCATCTTGCTTTCAGAGGATGGGGCCGGCTAGGCTGTGGCTGCTGGGAGCCGGGATCCTGGCCTCTGTCCACTGTCAGCCCTTTCCTGCCCATGGAGATAAGAGCCCAGGGGCACATCGACCCCCCGGCCATCAGCTCTCAGAGCCAGCTCCTGCCTACCACAAAGTCACACCCACCATTACCAGCTTTGCCTTGCGCCTGTACAAGCGGCTGGCGGCGGGCACCCCAGGAAATATCCTCTTCTCGCCCGTGAGCCTCTCCAGCACCCTGGCCCTGCTCTCCCTTGGGGCCCAAGGTGACACCTCAACACAGATCCTGGAGGGCCTGGGCTTCAACCTCACAGAGACCCCAGCAGCCGACGTCCACCGGGGCTTCCAGAGCCTCCTCCGCACCCTTGACCTGCCCAGCCCCAAACTTGAACTAAAAGTAGGGAGCTCCTTGTTCCTAGACAAGCGGCTCAAGCCTCTGCAGCACTTTTTGGACAGCACCAAGGAGCTGTATGGCGCTTTTGCTTTTTCTGCCAACTTCTCGGATCCAGCTACAACCTGGAGGCAGATCAATGAGTACGTGAGAAAGCAGACGTACGGGCACGTCACGGACGGCCTGCCTCAGTTCAGCCAGGACACGCTCATGGTTCTCTCGAACTACATCTTCTTCAAAGGTGAGGGCTCGCTCAGACACAATGACTGCCTCCTCCTCCGTGAGTAGACACTGTCACCGCACAGAGGTGACCAAACATTTTTTGCCAGCCTTGGGCGATGCTATTAGCCTCTTGGGAAAATCTGTGAATGACAGCTTTCCTACCCTTGGGTAGCTCATGTCCCACGTGGGTTGGAAGCAAGTAGCCGCAACAGAGCTCAGAGGGATTCGTGCTTTCAGGCGGGTGTAGGTGCCCTGGAGCTCTCGGAGGAGATGAGCATCCATGCAGACTTGGGGAGCAAGGGGAGGCTCCCCAGAAATGCAGGCCTCTGAGTGGAGATCTGAAGAGTGACTTGGATCTGCTCAGGTAAAGTTTCAGAGAAAAGAAAGACCAGGAATTCCAGTCTTGACAGTAGAGTGACGTGATCACGTCTGTTTAGAAAGAGCAAGCGTGGCTGGGCGTAAAGGTGGGACCTGACCCAGCTACTTGACTGAGATAGGAAGCAGGAGTTTTGAGACTAGCTCAGGCAGGACAGTGAGACCCAGATTTTAAAAAACAAAGGAGCAAGACGAGCCTGGATACAGTGTGGAAATGGTTTGGAGCAAGGACGGGCGGGGAAAGACATGTTAGGCGTTTCTCAAAGTGGACCAAATCCGGGTGACGCTAACCTTGATAAACCCGTGGCTTTGGAAGTAGAATCTGCAGTATTTGGTCATTGATTGAGTGTCTCTGCATAAGCTGGTCATATAGGGGTCGCTGGGCTGAGGGCCTATTCAAGTGGCTTGGAAATAACCTGAGCTGTGCCGTCAGAATCAGGCCACTGATCTCAGCTCATACTTCCTGGCTTTGTAAATGGCATGTTTATGGAAATTCACAAGCCTCAGTTCCCCCATTCCCTAATAGGGGATGATGACCCTTGTTTCTTGTTAATTTTTGTGATGATTTAGAGACAATGCCTCACCCATGGAAGGTGCTTAGTGGATGGGAATGCACTGTGGTCTCGAGAACTAAATTCCTCTGAAAGGAAGCCCAACCATAGGCCCTGGAGCTCAGACTCTGCTGACACGCTAGTGGCTAAGCCCTGGCCTGGGTTCTGGCCTCCTGGCTCTGCCCCCCAAGCTCGCTCTTCACCTCACACTTACATACCCAAGAGAAAGTCACCAGGCCAGTGTGGCTTTGTGGGCAGCCGCCCAGGGTCGCTCTCCTGGGACGTGGGCTTCTCATGTGTTAATGGGTCTTGTGTCCTCAGCCAAGTGGCAGCATCCTTTCGATCGCTACCAGACCCGGAAGCGGGAAAGCTTCTCCGTGGATGACAGGACCTGTCTCCGTGTCCCCATGATGCAGCAGAGGGAGATGCACAGGTTCCTGTATGACCAGGAGGTGGCGTGCACCGTGCTGCAGATGGGGTACAGTGGCAGTGCTTGGCTGCTGCTCGTGCTCCCTGACCCCGGCAGGATGAGGCAGGTGGAGGCCGCTCTGCAGCCAGAGACCCTGAGAAAGTGGGGACAGCTGTTCCTGCCCAGGTAGGTGCCACATGGAAGGGTTCCAGCAATCTTTGCTCAAGAGCCGGAGCAGGTCTTGGTCAACTCCTGTCCCCGAAGGCTAAACTCCAAGTTTGCCTCTGTCTTGCCCTTTACTGACTCTGGGATCCTAGGCAATTTTCTCTCCTCCTTGGGCCTCAGGTTTCCTCTGAGGCCTTGGTTCCTCCTGAATTGCACTGCTTGGAGGATTAACTGAGCCCATAGTTAGACTGATACCTGGAACCTAAGTGCTCACTCGGTGTGGACCATGATCCCCCCACCGGGTGTCCTGACCCCAGTCTCATTTCCCCTGGCTTTTCCTCCTTCTTCACATAGTGATTTAATATCACACGGTAACAAAGTGTCACCAAGATACCAGATAAAGGACGGTTATTAAGAACGATCATTAGGGTAAAGAAAATGTGGTATATATCCACAGTGGAGTTGTACTCGGCCATGAAGAATGAAGTCACGGCATTTGCTGGCAGATGGAGGGAACCAGGGAAGAGGACGCTGAGTGAACTAAGCCAGCCTCAGAAAGTCAAGGGTCAAAGGTTCTCTCTGACATGCAGAAGCTGGAGAGAAAGACCAAGAAGACACCAGTGGCACAGAGAGCGTCTGGCACCTCGGGAATCTTAGGAAGAGGGAGAATATTGGAATAGAGAAAGGCGACCGAGGGGAGGAAGGAGGGATGGGAAAGGGGAATCCTGTCCCCTCTCACTTGCTTTTAGATTGTGTTTTCCTCACTGTGGTTGCAGCTTCTTCTGATTCCCGAGGTCCCCCTCCCTGGCCCACCCTTCTCAGGATGTGTCTTCCTTTATGGAGTGACCTGGGATGGAATCTGGTCCTGAAATCTAGATGCCTTAGCTGCAAAGAAACCAGCCCCAAACTAAGCAGCCCGAAGGCCAGCTGTTGTCCCTCACTGCCGGGGTTGATAGGGCCAGTCGCCTGTTTCCCACTCCTGGGGAAGATGGGGGCTGGGCTGGAGCCATCGAAGCCTCCTTCGTGGGTGTCTGGATTGGGCTGGGTTGGCTGGAGGGGATCCGGGCAGGGGCCGGCTTCTCTTCCTTCAGTGTGTCCCCCAGGCTAGCCTGAGCGGAGCAGCTCAGTGTGACACTGTGTGGCCCCTCGCAGCTCCAAGGGAAGGGCCCTAAAAGGAAGTGAAGGCTCGTACCCTCTGAAGGGTTAGGTCCATAAGTTAGCAGTGTCCCTCCTGCTGTATTGCACTGGCCGGAGGGTCACGAATCCCACCCAGATTCAAGGGGAGGGCTCATACCCACCATCTCAGGGTGGCAGTCCCACATGACCCAGTGGCTGCCAGCCCCTCCTTGTGCTACTGGTGTCTTCTCTCAGAGCCCCACCCACACCGAGGCATCAGAGTAGAGAGAGGCATTTTATATTTGGGCAGAAATTAAAGCACCCAGTAAAAGAGATGCGGTCAAGGGGAAAGGCCAGGATTTAAGGAATTTTCTGAACCCGTAAAGCTCCAGTCAAACCCGGATTCCAGTCCCATAGTTTTAGGTTCCCGCAGGGTGAGCCTGCCCCTGTCTCCCACTGCAGGAGGGAGTACCATAGAATCTTCTGGATTGAGTAGATTTTCCCTCAAAAAGGGTTTGCTTTGACTTCTCGAAATGAGTAAATCTCTACTCATTGTCCCCCTCCCCCTCCTCCTCTCCCCCACCAGTGGCCTGGGGCTTGCCCACCTAAGATCTCCCTGTGAAAAATGTGTCAAGAAGGCCAAGATGTCCTTCCACTTCAGTTAGCCCCTGGACCCTCCTATGGCCTAGGGATTAAACTGGTAACAATAATGATAAACCTAACTTTGATCTTCCAGAGACATAAGTTTCCAAATTAGTTATTAACTAGTCAAATCCGTAGGTGGCCTGGCAATCATCGACCAATGATTAAGAAAAGAATAATCCCAAGGAGAAAAGGATGGATTTACTGTGGGTGGGAAGAATCTTCTGAGTTGACCCCAGGAAGTGTGGCCATCTGACAGCCCAGGAGGCCCAGTGGCAGGAGGGAGTGACCTGTTCATTTGTGACTCACATTTTGCACACCTGCTGTGCCACGGGATCCTCACAGCAGCCCGTGGAGTGGGCATCTCTGTGCCATTTCACAGACGAGGAAACGAGCTCAGACAGGGGGGAGATGGTGGTGGCCTGGGCGAGGGGAAGGCCAGGAGATGGAGTGAGGACACGATTTGGAGGTTGAGCCGCAGAAATTGCAGGTGAATGAGATGTGGGGGTGGGAAATGTTACCAGCACTGACTTCGCACAGCCATCTGTGGATCCCATCAGTGAAGCCATTCAAAACTCCACTCCCGAGAGCCTTCCACAAGGGGATGGAGAGGAGGACAGGGGCCATGCCAGGCGCCGTCGGGGGTCCAGCCCCAGACACTCCATGAGGGCTGCAGCGAGAGAGCTCTGGCTAGGGAGGTGGAGTGTCCCCCACAGCAGGTGTGTCACAGGGGACTGCTCGCCCCCCACACTAGGAAATGCTTGTCCCTCCACGGAGCAGGCTGCCGACAGACGGGCAAGGGCAACACTTACAAGATGGTACATTTCTCTGATTCTCTCTGCAGCCTGCTCGACTTGCACCTGCCGAGGTTTTCCGTTTCCTCCACATATAACCTGGAAGAGATTCTTCCCCAAATAGGGCTCGGCAGCATATTCAGCTTGGAAGCAGACCTCTCGGGGATCACCGGGTGGCTCAACAAGACCATCTCCAGGGTAAGGCAGTGGAGGTGCACGGGTAGATGCAGGGCCACTCCCTTCTCACATGCTGGGAAATCAAGTCCTCCAGTCTGTTTCCTATGCAGGGCCTGCAAAATTGAAATCTTTATAGCTTCCTTTCATGGACAACTCCCTTCCCACCTCCCCTTCTCCTAGATCTTTGTTTTCTGTGCAGGAATAGTGTTCTGCATAGAGCAGGTATCATTAGAGGTGATTCATGGGACCATAATTTTCCCAGGTGTGGGATAGCTTTGTTTTGATTCCTAGTATGTCCTCTTACTGGGGCAGCTGTGGGACTCTACCTGCCTTCGTTATGGCTATGGGTAATAGTGGGACAAAAACAGGAGGTATATCATTCAGCTTTGCTGCAGTAACAAACAACCCCTACACCAGCTACATATCTGCTTCCCATGACTGCTTCCCTCAGGGATATAGGGGAAAGGAGAAGCCCCTGTCCTCTTCTGTTCTCACAGAAGAGGAGGAAAGCAAGAGAAAAAGTGCAACAGCTCATTAACACTTGTCCCCATGCCTGGCCTGTGTCATGGCAGTGCCCAGGCCATTTGCTAGATTGGGTTCCACTTTCATGACCCCAGTCCATGGGGATGGGCCATGTTCTGCACTACAGGTGGCCCCACAAAACACATGGAATGGGCAAAGGTTGACAACCCTCCAACAGGAGGGGAGAGCTGATATTTGGGAATAAGAATGCAGGTCAATAAGAATGCAGTGGTCTTTGAGGGCAGAGGCTGCCTGCTGGACACTGGGGAGGAAGCTAGATTAGGTTCCACTTCCATGATCATGGTCCGTGGGATGGGGAGACAGTCAAGGCCTCTCTCTGAGCTTTGGTTAGGGGCATGGAGTGGGTGTGTGCGTGTGCGTGCGTGCGTGTGTGTGTGTGTGTGCACGCACATGCACCTCCTTGTGCAGCAGGAGGGTGAAGAAGAAGGAAAAGAAATAGTCAAATGTCGTAAAGAGGCTTTTGTACAGTACCTTTAAGAGCTTGTCTTTTCCTAGAACCTTTTGGAAATAAAAGGGAACATCAAGGCCATTTCTTTTTTTTTTTCTTTTATCTAGCTTCTTTTAAAGGCTCAGAACCCTTTCTTCCTGAGAAGTTGTGTGAAATGAGGTTAGAAAAGAAGTTCCTCTCATGGAAGCCAGTGGGGGGCTGGGTGACCCTGAGCTCTTTAGACACCTGAGGTAGGCTGGGCGGGGGCCTCCAGGCCTGGGCCTGAGGCTTTGCAGCCGGGAGAACACAGGTGGCCCCAGTCAGGCTCAGGCCCATTTGTCTTTCTGCCTGAGGGTGACGTCACTTGTGGGCGGGGGGTGGGGGTGGGGGGGACCCTCAGGAGAGAGAAAATGGAGAGAGAAGGGAATGAAGCCAAGGCTGGAGCAGCTTCCTAGGCAGGCAGGGCCCTGGGGCCTGATCAGGTGGCTTCCTCCCCAGTGTCCAGCAGGCAGCCTCTGCCAAAAAGGCTACTGAATTGAGCCGTCTCTGACTCTTCTCTCCTTCTAGGTGTCACACAAGGCCGCCGTGGACATGAATGAGAAGGGAACCCAGGCAGGGGCCGCCTCTGGCCTCCTCTCCCAGCCCCCGCCCCTGAACACGACGTCGGCCCCTCACGCCCATTTCAACAGGCCCTTCCTGCTGCTGCTTTGGGAGGTGACCACCCAGAGTTTGCTCTTTCTGGGAAAAGTCGTGAACCCAGTGGCAGGGTGACGGGGGTGGGAGGTCCCAGGGGTCCTCTCTCCCCACCAAACAGGAAGGCTGTGCCCCCTGCACTGTGGGAGGGCAGACCAGCTTGTGGGTGTGCAAAGGTGCTAATAAAGTTGGCCCTGGGTGTCACGAACCCCGAGGAGCCCTGCTGAGGAGGGAGGCCAAGTCCATGAGCAGCCCGAGCCACTCACCCTCCAATCTGCTCAGCTCTGGGGTTAACTGTGGCTGGAAAGTTGAAAATGACGATAGCGCTCATGTTGTGGCCTCCAGGAGAAGTTGCCACCGCCATGCCAGGCACTTTCCAAGTGTCCTTTGGGAAAGGGTCACAATAAAAGGCCCAGAGGACACAGGAGGAAGGAAGACACCTCCCCCTTCACAGTGGCTGTTCTGCACTATCAGCCACGTGACGTGCTCTGAGCTGTCACTGCTCAGGAGTTGTCTCACCTGGAGGGAAGGCTGGCCCCGGGGAGGTGCTCCCCGCCACATGCCATGGAGGCGGGAGAGGAGGGGGCAGTGCAGTGGTGGTGAGCCTGGGGGAGGCCAAACGCAAGCAGCAAGGAGACAAGAGGAGCCCAGGGGCAGCCCCAGGCCCAGGAAGCAGGACAGTCAACATGGCAGGACGACAATGCAGACAGGGTGGGGGAGAGTGGGGGGCTGTGTCCAGGGAGAGTGGGGGGCTGTGTCCAGTGGAGACAGAGCATCCCCTAGAGATGGAAGCTCAACCCCCATCCCAGGTGTGCCCCTCAGGAGCACCATCTGAACCCAGCGGAGGAAGCAAGAATGGGGTGTCCACTTATCCACCAGAGCTCTCCACTGTGAGACGGGACCCCAGGCACCAAGATATGTTCTGACCTCTTTTCTGGATCTTTTAGCATTGAAGAGCAGTGTGTTCGTCTTTATTTACAGGGTATTAGAAACCAGTCTGCTCTAAGACCAAAAGAGGGGTGGGGTCTGGAAACACCCTGTCCCACTGCAGTCCCCAGCCCTGGCTCTCCAGCAGTGTCCCAGTGGTCATGTAGGAGCAATATGCAGAAGGAAAGTGGAAGTCCAAGGTTCATTAAACCCCGGGCTGTGCCTCTGAACCAAGATCATTTACAAAACCCTCCTCCATTGACCCAAATCTTGGGTCTTTCCACTCTGATGAGCCAAAATGGGAAGCAAGGAGCAGGTGGGTGAAGGAAGGTGGGTGGAGACGTAAACAGAAAGCAGAGAGAGAGAGAGAGAGAGAGGAATATGTTTACCCTGTGCCCACGCTGAATGTGGGAAGTGACCCGGGTAAGAAAGCAAGCCATCCCCCAGAGGTAGAGAAGGGCGATCCTGCCAGCCCTGGCCAGCTTGACCCACCGTGGTAGTATATGGAGGTGTTAGCAAGGGGACAGTCGACCTCTTCCTGCGTAGGGACAGCCGGAGACGAGAACAGAACACATCCAGTTCAACCCACAGGTCTGCGGGTCAGCAAGCTCAGGCAACGTTCCCAAGTCCAAGCCCCAGATTCAGCTTGCGGGCTCCCAGTGGGAGTGTCTGCAAAACATTCAGGTTCCTGAGTGATTAAGTAACACCCAGAGAGCCTGGGCTGGGAGGTCCCCCGACTTCAACAGCATCTCCAGCAAGATGAACAGTGCAACCCTGAATCGCCTGAGTGAGTTGTGGAGCTCTGTGTGGGAGGGGGCTGATTCTCAGAGTAACTCTGAGGCCTTCAGATAGCAGGAACCTGCAGCCCACTTTTGATCGCACACCCTTTTCCTGGAGAGAGCCAGTGTACTGAGGGATGCTGGTCCCAAACCCACGGCCCACCACCAAAGGCGAGCCCTGCCCCCTGCTGGTTGCAGAGGGTCACTGCCCTGGAAGAGTCAGTGACCCCCTCCTCTTGTTAGGCTGGATTGAGGAGGGTCATAAGAGGGTACAGTCGCCAGATAAAATATAGAGCATCCAGTTAAACCTGAATTTTAGTTAACAGCAAATAATCTAGTATAAGTATGTCCCATACAATATTTGAGCTTTACTTATACTTAAAACATTTCTGCTGTTGTTTATTTAATATTTGAATATCATGATGTCCTGTAATTTTATTTACTAAATCTGGATCCCTAGAAAAGAATGCATATGGTCAACACTCTTGAGTGTGTTGGAAGTGAAGAAACTCTGAGGATGCTAAGGGTAGACTGGCCCAGGCATCTGGACAGAGAAAAGAGAATCCAGAGGACAGAGTTGTGAGGAGGAGCCAGGGCAGGACCCTTGCTTCTGCTGTGAACAAATCCAGGTTGGCTTGCTGAGGAATGGCACGAAGCTCAGCTGCCCCCACCCCCAGCCTCTTGCCACACTGGGGATGAGGCCATCCTCCACCAGTGACTCCAGCTGACCACCACAGTCCATAGCCAGGCCAGGACTGCTTAGCTGGACTGCAGGTTCATGAGCTCAATATGTCCTCAAATGTCCATCGCTTTGACCCGATACATTTTGGGGTTGTTTGTTATGCAGCAAACAATAATTGATATCAGAGAAAAGAAAGGGGTCCTGAGGATGGGCTTTGGGCAGTGTAGCCTGAGAAGGCAACATGATGAATCATAGCACCCAAGGGCCACGTCCTGTTAGGTCCACTGTTCTCTCCAAGGACTGAGCAGAGAGTCTTGGACGTATCCAGTCCCCAGCACAGGGACCCTGCCAGCCTGAAGGCCCTTGAGCAGGGGCAGGGAGCCAGGGGTGGGGCTTGATCGAGGGTAACCACCCATTGGTTCACCACCTGAGCTGCGTGTCCTGCTCTGAAGATGGCTGGGCCATTCGACACCTTTCCTGGCAATTTGGAATTGGGGGCTTGTGGATGTCGTCACAGAGCTGTAGAACTACAGCCAAAAAGTCACAGATCAGTCATTCAAGGACACATGTGAAATGTTCAAAAGAAAATGGAGCAGATGCAGAGAGACCTTGGGAGGGAGAGCTCAGTTCCCACCCTCAGCACTGGCCTGGGGCTTTGCAGGGGGCCATCAGGGTCCAGGGAGCTGACACATTTTCAGGCTGGTGCAGGCAGAGCTGTGTTCTCAAAACAGGGCTGCTCACAGAAGCCCAGCTGCAGGACATACCAGCATTTGTGGAAAGGTGGAAACTGGTGAGTCATCCGACAGCTCTCAGTGTCTCTCCCACCCCACCCCAGTGGCCTCCATCTCAATGCCAGTTATCCTTCCGGCAGCTCTACCTGCACAGGTGGATGGGATCTGTCTACAGGGCTCCACATTACTGCAGGAGACCTGCATGAATCCCTAGAAAGAATTTGGAAGAATTTAACACAAGATGAGAATGCACCAAAAAAAAAAAAAAAACATTAAAAGAAGTATTTTAAAATGCAGAAATGGATATCATCAATCACTCCTGCCTGTGTGTCCTGAGCTCAGATCTCAGTTCTTGGCTTTTGATGCAAAGAGAAAAAGTTCTAAGCTACCCAGAGCTTTCAGGGACAGGAGACAGCGGAGCTCCGGGTGCACCTAGAGATGCATTTTCTCCCTTCTTAGAATCTAAGGCCAGTTGGGTTTGTATTCACACAGTCCCTCCTGCTCTGCTGTGTGAGGGTGCAGAAATCCTGTCTTCACGATCGATGCTCCCAATGGCTCTTTGAAGGTCAAGTATGTGCCAGGATATCCAACTTCATTGGCCAAGTTGACAAAGTGACTTGAACAAGTGGCTTCTGAGTTTGGGACTAAGGCTTCAGGCAAGCAAGAGAAATAGGAAGCTGCCGTCCCTCAGAGAGCTGTCCCCGAGGAGCAGTGGGTGCCGGGCTAGTGACGTCATGGGTGTGGTGCCACCCATTGTGTGGCTCAGGAATGAGACACAGCCACTGGGCAGTGAGGGCTTTTCAGCTAGACAAAAGCTGCCTTTGTGGATGTCTAATCACGAGTCACACGTGACCATCGTACTCACTTGTACAAGCCATGACAGCAACGTGAAAAGTAAACTGTAGTCATCCAAAAATGCACACCTAGGAATGCATCTGACCGGCTCTTGGTTACATATTTTTTCTTATAGAAATACAAGTGATGCTTTAAAAATACACAAATATTTAACAAGACGGGATCCTGTTGTGATAAATGCTTTTGACTTTCTTTGTCATATTATTTTAATGACTTTCACATTCCATTGTTTTAGGGGTGGCATGTGTTTTTCCTTTGAAATTCTCCTTCGATGGACTTTTCAGTTGTTTTTATGTTTTTAAACACCAAGAAGGATCTTGGTCGTCCAGCTGGACACATAAGGAGATGGAAAGGCTCCACCCCCTCCTAGGAAATACAGTCAAAAGCTGAACCGACCGAGAGATCCAGAGCGCCTCTGGGATCTGTGAGATGGGGAGGACACAGGGAGGCTGGAAAGACCGGCGGGCGGTGCAGGGACGCACGACTGACCTCAGCTGAGTCCATGAGCAGAAGCTGTGGGGGTAGGGAAACCTGACCCGTAGCTGTGGAGTCCCGGAGGCTCTGTGCAATGACTCTCGAGTGTTAAATACTGGGGGGATCACCTCGGGGATCCCACACTTTTATGATTTTACCTCCGGGAGCTTGACGAGTTCTCACGGTGAATATTGAAGATCCCCTGCGCTTCCAGCAGGTGGAGGGGGAAGTTGTGAAAAACCACTCCTCGTCCTGACCCTCAGGGTCCAGGGGAGGCCAGGGAACCAGAGCCTCGTCTGCCTGGGGAAGGAGGCTCAACTCCAGCTGGCTCTGGCCATCCACCTGTCCCACCCACCGAGGAGGAGGGAGGACCCCGGAAGCCCCTGGGAAGTCCACAGTCCGGAGCACCAGCTGGTTGAAAGACGGGGCCATCATCACGGGGCCCCCAGACCTCTCCTGCTGCCACGCCCCTGAAGGCCCATTCATGGTTCTATTTCCTGGTGTGTCATGTCCAGCTACTGAGAAAAAATGAAAGTTATGCTGAGAGCAAAAACCATGGAATTAGGAGGCAGAGCCAGCATCTGAAACAGGCATGGCAGGATTGATCAGAATCAGGCATCTAAAGAATCAGTCTAATATGCTCAGAGTTCTAACAAGGAGGCAGCGACCAGGAACAGATGCCAACCAGGCAGAAAGGTGGCGGTGCTAAGAGCCCAAGAGAAACGCTGCAATCAAAAACACGGCGACAGAATGAGGGTGCTCTTCAATGCGCTGACCCTAGGCAGGTCAGGGCTGAGGAAAGAGTCTCTGAGCTTGAGGAGGCATCAACAGAACCTTCTAAGGCTGAAAAGCAGAGAGGACTCACACAAGAGTAGAATACCCAGTGATGTTGAGATGACCATGAACGCGTGACCATGCAGAGTGGGAACAGCAGACAGAGAAGGAGGAGGGAAAGAACCAAAGAAACAGGGGTGACTGAGAATGTCCCCAATTAATGCCAGACACCTAGCCGGGAAACTCAGTAAACTCAGTGGGCACCAAGCAGAATAAATGCCACTCCAGTCTACACCTAGACATGTCATTTTCAAACTCTAGGAAATCAAAGGTAAAGAAAAACTCACCAAAGTCAAAAGAAAAAAGTTACCTATCAATGAACAAAGATAGAAGTTATTTCTAACTTCTCCTTAGAAATCATGCAAGCAAAAATGGTGGAATAAAACATTTAAAGACATTGGAAATACTGAGAGAAAAAGTGCCCCCTCCCCATACTACACGTAGAATTCTGAACACTGATTTCAACAGTGAAGGAAAAATGCTGTGTTCACTTTCCGTCATTGTAACAAAATACCTGAGATAATCAGCTTATAGAGATAAGGGGTTTATTTGGCTCACAATTTGGGAAGTCCCAGTCCATGATCAGCTGCCTTTGTTGTCTGAGGCCTGTGGTGAGGGAGCATATCATGGTGGGAATATGTGAAAAATAGAGAGCCCACAAGTAAACACTCATCATAGCCAACTGGTCTCTGACAAAGGAGCGAAGCAACACAATCAAGCAAAGAGAGTATTTACAACAAAAGGTCCTAGAACAACAGACATCCAAATGCAAAAAACAACAACAAAAAACTAGACAGAGACCTTAAAATCATCAAAAAGTTAACTCAAAATGGATCACAGCCCTACATGTAAAACATGAAATTATGAAACTTCTAGAAGACGAACTAGAAAAATTTGTAGGTGCCTTAAATACAGAGATGACTTTTTAGAACACCAAGGGCATGTCACACCCCTGGAGTTATTGACAAGCTGGATTTTATGAAAACTAAACCTGCTGCTCTGTGAAAGGCAAGACCACGAGGACGAGAACCCAAGCCACAGACTGGAGAAAATACTGGCTTATCTGATAAAGGGTTGTCATGCAGCGTACACAAAGAACTCTCAGAGCTCAACAAGGACACAGGGAACCCAGTGTTCAAAAAGGGACAAAGACCTTGACAGACACCGCACCAAAGAAAGTGTACAGATGACAGGCAGGCATATAAAAAGAAGACCCATGTCATGTGTCCTCAGGGAAATGCACACCACAGCAAGGAGCTATGGAATATAACAGTGCAACCCTGAGAATGGCCCAGGTCCAGCACACTGTCCAGGCCCCACACTGGGGCAGATGCAGAGAGGCGAGAACCCTCTTCCTGCTGGTGGGATGCAAGATGGCAGACAGAGCCACCTGGGTGACAGCGTGGCTCTGAGCAGGGTCTGAGAGCAGGCAGGGAAAAGGCTGGGGGTGCATTGATTCCCTCCATGGTCTGGCCCTGCCTGAAGACAGATGG